ATTTCCTCATGAAATCAACTACCTTGAATGAAGAATTCAACAGACCCTAATCCAAACGTTTTCCAAACCAAACACTAAAAGATACCAAGAAAGTCAATCTTTATAAATGGTAAACCTCGGGATGGTTCGCACCAGCAATATCATTGTTACTGTCCTTAACTTAATTAGGATAAGACTTATCACAAAAACTATCAGTGATATTAGGAGTAAAACACCACGTATATAAGCAGTGGCGTATCTAGAATTTTAACATTGGGTGTATAAGTGATATTAGGAGGAACCCGATAATAATCGTTTGTGAGATCTAAGCATTAGACATGACAATTTCTCGCATGACCTATTAACCAGTCACGAAATGATATGATCAGTTAACGAGTTGAGTTGTTATTGGATCACATGTTATCTTAACAAGTTTGACACGATACAGCATGACCTGTTAAAATAACAGATTTGTCGTGAAAACCACACGAACATGACAAACACAACCCATTTGCCAAACGTATCTCCAACGATAAATCTCATATGGGAAGCGGAGGTGTGAATTTTTCCAATAATTGGCTGAAAAACGTGTTGTTAAAACACTGACTTTTTTATGAGTAGGTTTTCAGGTCACGCAGAAAGCGACGAAGCATGATGACGAGACACGCAAATTCTTGAAAACGTAGACCAATAATGGAGCACCACGCACTACTTCTCATCCTTCGAATCTTGTCCTTGTTTTCACAAGTGGGTTAGCTCTTCACATTAAAACTCTTATCCTGTTCTTGTCAATGCTAATAGACAATTAAGTAACTGATTTGTTTATCTTTCTTTCCATTTCACTAAACTAATTATCTACTTTGCTCACTCAATGAGCATCAACATGGTTTTGGATTTGGTTTTCCCTTCAACCTTTTTTTATTTATTTATTTTTATTTTTAAATTTCAAAAATAAAGATTATTTTAAAAAATTAATAAAAATAGAAACATAAGTTTCAATCCTATCTCCAAAACATAAAAACTCTTCAAAAACTAAAAAAATTCTTTAAAATAGTTCTTAATAAAAACTACATGGAACAAAATTTTAGGATTAAAAAAACCGCCATCTGTTGATCTCTTTCACTTGGAAAATGAAAGTAGATATCCTATTTCTTGTTTTCTATGTATAATAATTGTCCTCAATTTTGTTTTCTCCATCGTACGTAATACATAATATTGGGATTTACTTGTGAACAATTTTTTTTGGAGATAAATTATGAACCAATTAAATTGTTGTTTTTTGGATCAGTTGTGGTTAGCATATTTCTCTTTACTTATAAGTGAAAATTTTTAAATTCAAATTTTACGTAAGGCAGTTTGATATTAATTTATTTTTTCAACTCTTTAATGTAAATATATTGTTATAAGAAAAAAAAAAGTGAAATATTAAATATTAGCACATATTTTCATCAGCATGCAAAGCAAATACAAATACTAGTCAACGGTCCACAGTTATCCACAGACGCAGTGCCTCAACACTGACACCACCCACACGCAATCACTCCCCCTTAAAATACTCAAAAAAAACAAAAAAAATTCCAAAAAGCGGTCACAAAAGAAAATAATAAATAAACCGAAGTGATGGCGGGTGAAAACGTTGAACGAATCTCATCCGTCCATCAGAGGCGGCCGAAATCCTAGCCCTCCGATCCTTTCCCCGAAACGCGTCCTCACAATTCTCTCTGGCGCGCTTCTTCCTCCCCTCGGCTTTAAAAGCTTCTCCTCTCTTCTTCGTCAACTCCTCCACCACCACCGACTCAACACATCGGTAGCAAATTTCTAGGGAGAGAAAACTGAAGACTCCTAGCGAGAGAAAGTCGCGTCTCGGACTCGGAACAGTATTTCGAAATGGCCGACCTCACTCCACCTAACGGCGATTTCCCGGCGGTGCCGTCCCACGGCGGCCAGTACATCCAGTACAACATCTTCGGCAACCTCTTCGAGATCACCAACAAATACCGCCCTCCGATCATGCCGATCGGCCGCGGAGCCTACGGCATCGTCTGGTACGTCGTTTTTTCCCCCGGCATCGATTTCTTCTTCTTGCGATTTAGGTTTTTGTTGATCGGAGTGTTTTTTGCAGCTCGGTTTTGAATTCGGAGACGAAGGAGATGGTGGCGATCAAGAAAATCGCCAACGCTTTCGACAATCACATGGACGCCAAGCGCACGCTTCGCGAGATTAAGCTGCTTCGCCATTTGGATCACGAAAATGTGAGATTAATTTGCTTTTAATTAATGCTAATTGATTCGATTTAGCTCTAATTTCTTGAATTAATGAGAAAGTTGACTTCTTTAGATTTTTACTATTTCTAGTTTTACATTTATTGGTTAGAGATTCTAAAAGGAGAAAATTACTGTATTAGTTAATTAGCTGAACAGCTTGAATTAGAAGGTTGTCAAAAGATTGGAGGATTTTGCATGAATTACTTGCTAAAAGTGGAAACTTTACGATTGTCAAACAGGTAATAGCTATCCGGGATGTGATTCCTCCACCTCTAAGGAGAGAATTTTCGGATGTGTACATTGCCACGGAACTCATGGATACCGACCTGCATCAAATTATTCGCTCGAATCAGGGTTTATCGGAGGAGCATTGTCAGGTACTTGCAAGTGTTTACATTTTAATTTCGTCAACCAAGTTCCATTGGTAGTGAGTGAAATAAATGGTTGTATTATTTGAGGACTAATTGGTATATGTTGGAATGCCTTGCAGTACTTCATGTATCAGATTCTTCGAGGGCTGAAATATATACACTCGGCGAATGTTATTCACAGAGACTTGAAGCCTAGCAACCTCTTGTTGAATGCTAATTGCGATCTTAAGATATGTGATTTTGGCCTCGCTCGTCCCACTGCAGAGAATGAGTTATTGACAGAGTATGTTGTGACGAGATGGTACAGGGCACCTGAGCTTCTGTTGAACTCTTCAGACTACACTGCCGCTATTGATGTGTGGTCTGTGGGTTGCATCTTTATGGAGCTTATGAATAGGAAACCTTTGTTTCCGGGCAAAGATCATGTGCATCAGATGCGCCTATTGACAGAGGTAAGATGAATTACAGACAAGTATAAATAAAAGTTGAATTCGACATGACCTGACTTTGATTGTGTTATTTAAGAATCACCGGTTTAGAAGAAATGAAATGTGACTGTCCTGTAAAGTACTCATTCTACATTTGTAAAAATGAAGTGCTGTGCCCAAACTTGAGCGGCTACTGTGCATACATAAAGTACATAGCAATTAAACCCATGATGTTACACTACTGAATACTTCATTGGAATCCCTACATATCTGTAGTAGTTAGTTGTGTTCTACTTTCCACTTTCATCCATGTTCGTACATGACTAAATTATTTAGCTATTTTTGGAAAGCAATATCTGCTAAATGAATACTAATACATACTTTGTATTTTCTGTTATAGCTTCTTGGGACACCAACTGAGTCTGATCTGGGGTCCGTTCGGAATGAGGATGCTAGAAGATATATAAGGCAGCTCGCCCAGCATCCCCGTCAACCATTGGAGAGGGTTTTCCCACATGTTAATCCAATGGCCATTGATCTTGTTGACAGAATGTTGACGTTTGATCCTACTAAAAGGATAACTGGTAATTTCTATTCCCATGTCAATCTTTTGGTGCTTCCGACAAAAATATGTATAGAATGTCTTCCACATTGAGGTCCTGATTGTGAGTTTTAATTGTACAACTTGTGCTTCTGCAGTTGAACAAGCATTAGCTCATCCTTACCTGGAAAGACTACATGACGTAGCTGATGAACCAATCTGCACTGAGCCGTTCTCCTTTGATTTCGAGCAACAGCCCTTGGTTGAAGAGCAAATGAAAGATATGATTTACAGAGAGGCTATTGCACTCAATCCAGAGTATGCTTAATATGAAAAGCAGCATTACTCGATTTCTATGTCGACAAAGTAGAAAGACTTAGACTTCCAGTGCTCTTTGATCAAAAAGGTTATTGTGATCAAAATATTGCAATCATCAGCGAGCTTTGTGTTCAAAGATTTAGTAGGCTGCTGATCAAGTAACCATGATCGTCCTATTTCATCTACATCATTACTTAGGTGTGTTTGCTGATTATTCAACAATGATTGCACGTCAATTTTAATAGACCTCTATATTATTTTTGAGGTCAGTTCCTCTTTGTTCTTTCCTTTTGGCGGTTTGTATTCTATTTATCTTGTTTGTATCTTTATTTATTTTTTTTTTGGTTTTTTTGCTGTACCAACGGATCATGTATAGCACGATTGTATTGGCAGACCTAACTACGATTCAATAAATACCTTTATTTATTCCTTGTGAGGGTAATTTGGGATTTTTGTTCGCAAGTTATCGACCTTTTGTTTGATGGATCAATTTATGGTTGTGACATTTGTTCTACTGCTGATCAGTTCTCTTCTGGTTTGTTGCTCACCAGAAGGAAAATTCTGTATCATGTTGATTACCGTAGATATTTTATAACACAATCTGCAATCCATGAGTAAGTGAATCCTCAAGGAGGAGAAATGTTTTGAGCGTTCTTTCTAATCTATTCATGTTATAGCATGTGTATCTATTTAGTAATCTCATACCCTAGGACAAGAAAAGTCAACCCTCAGTCCCCCGTTGTCTACCTATACCATAACTTGTGGATTAATCTCCCCACGTGACAGTGTGACCGTCACACCCACAATTTTCCCTCCCTCAGAAAGTAGTTGATCCCTCATGGCTTATCCATGAATTATTTAGCAGTTTTTTTAACTCACCTTTTGCTCTTACAGAGTTATAGAGTGGAGCAGTGAGTTTCTTACTAGATATGCTTTTAGATATTTTTCTTTGATGAAAGAATCTTCTCTTTGCTATTAATTAATACCAAAACTCATTTCCCATCAGTCCTTAGTGCGGCTTAATTTGTTATCTTGTGACTACTTTATCATTTCCAGCATTATTGGTATACCTACTATGGCATGTATGTTAGCCAACAATAATAAGCCAATTCTTAATTGTTGGATGTCATTGTTGTAGGGTTACGATTTTCACGCTCATTTTTTAACCATCTGCACTCTAAACTGTATATTTTACATTCTTTCTACTCACATAGGAGTGCAGGAGGTTGAAAATGAGTGCAAAAATTACGGTGTGATAGAGATTCACATAACTGCTCCTAGTAACATGAACTTGCTTACTTGAGTTAAAAACCTTGCTTGAGGTTTCCTTCAAATAGGTCTTCTTGAAGGCTGATTTGGTGCTCAAAAACTTAATTAGTCGAAAGTTGCGGCATCTCAATGATTGTGGCTGCATTTATCTCAGTGCTACAACCAGTGGAAAGTTGAAAGTTGGTGCTTAATGATAGGAAAGCTTGCTTAGTTGGGTTCTTTGATAATAACAGAAGGGATGCTGGACCACTGTTAGTGTGGCATATACTGGACTGCACTAGCTTGTTTACACGTTTAAATTACGATGGGAATTTGTGAACATACATCTCGACAAGAGGAAACCACGCTGACACAGTTACACCAGCTGGGTTGTAACATGGATGCATCACTCTCCGTGGACAGTGAAGGACAAATGGTGGATGCTGGTGGTAAACACGGTGGTTGGATCATCTTTTTATTCATCATAGGTTTCTCTCTCTCTCTCTCTCTCTCTCTCTCTCTCTCTCTCTCTCTCATGCACTTCTGTTCTTCACTTATGACTACAAGGAAGTGAAAAAGACAACTTCTTTCTTAGCAAACCATGTGATCTTATTTTGTTTTGAGCAGGAACTTTAATGTGCTTGACACTTGCTGCTGGAGGATGGCAAGCAAATCTAGTTGTGTATCTGATTGAGGAGTTTAACGTGAAGAGCATTGATGCTACTCAGGTGTCAAATGTTGTCAATGGTTGCACTACTTTATTTCCTATCATTGGAGCAATTGTTGCAGACTCCTTCTTTGGCTGTTTCCCTGTCATCCTGATCTCATCTTGTCTCTTTTCTGGTAATACCCTCGCTCTGTCTCTACTCTAACACACACGCTCACATAGCCATGATAGTTCTGTTAATTGTTGATGTGGGATAATACACTTCCAATTTGCAACATAATGTTGAGTTTTATAGGATAATACACTTTCAATTCTCCGCTTAATGGAGCGGTATTAGCCTACGACGAAGCATCTGAATCCTTAATAGCCATTGCTTTTTACTTGAGCACGGCGCTGGTTGATCTTGTTCGGAGGGTTACGGAATGGCTGCCGGATGATATAAACGAAGGGAGGATAGACAATGTGTTCTAGGTGGTGGTTGTGATAGGTGTGCTCAACTTCGGTTATTTTCTGTTATGTGCCAAGTTGTACAAGTATCAGAACGATAAGGGGGTAGAAGATAGTAGCTCCTAAGTCTCTCAAGGCTAGAAAATAAAATGTCTATCGATCTTATACTGAAATATGAACTATTTATTGGCCTAAATCTAATTTTCTAGAATGCCGTCATTCAAATAAAAAGATTAGTGTTTAAGTTCTTTATTTGGACAATACTAGTCTACGTCTTCCTGCTCACAAAGATTCCTCTTTTTTTCTCTCTTTTCGTGTGGTCATATTATTGTCTTTTTATTTGATTTCTTATCTCCGAAGTTATACTTTTTCTCCCTACTTATAGGAACGATTTTGGAGATGGAAAATCAAATATCGATTTTGTTATCTTGTGAATAATTTATCATTTCCAGCATTATTGGTATACCTACTATGGCAAGTATGTTAGCCAACAATAATAAGCCAATTCTTAATTGTTGGATGTCGTTGTCATAGGGTTACGATTTTCAAGCTCATTTTTTAACCATATGCACTCTAAACTGTATATTTTACGTTCTTTCTACTCACATAGGAGTGCAGGAGGTTGAAAATGAGTGCAAAAATTACGGTGTGATTAGAGATTCACATAACTGCTCCTAGTAACATGAACTTGCTTACTTGAGTTAAAACCCTTGCTTGAGGTTTCCTTCAAATAGGTCTTCTTGAAGGCTGATTTGGTGCTCAAAAACTTAATTAGTCAAAAGTTGCAGCATCTCAATGATTGTGGCTGGATTTATCTCAGTGCTACAACTAGTGGAAAGTTGAAAGTTGGTGCTTAATGATAGGAAAGCTTGCTTAGTTGGGTTCTTTGATAATAACAGAAGGGATGCTGGACCACTGTTAGTGTGGCATATACTGGACTGCACTAGCTTGTTTACACGTTTAAATTACGATGGGAGTTTGTGAACATACATCTCGACAATAGGAAACCACTCTGACACAGTTACACCAGCTGGGTTGTAACATGGATGCATCACTCTCCGTGGACAGTGAAGGACGAATGGTGGATGCTGGTGGTAAACGCGGTGGTTGGATCATCTTTTTATTCATCATAGGTTTCTCTCTCTCTCTCTCTCTCTCTCTCTCTCTCTCTCATGCACTTCTGTTCTTCACTTATGACTACAAGGAAGTGAAAAAGACAACTTCTTTCTTAGCAAACCATGTGATCTTATTTTGTTTTGAGCAGGAACTTTAATGTGCTTGACACTTGCTGCTGGAGGATGGCAAGCAAATCTAGTTGTGTATCTGATTGAGGAGTTTAACGTGAAGAGCATTGATGCTACTCAGGTGTCAAATGTTGTCAATGGTTGCACTACTTTATTTCCTATCATTGGAGCAATTGTTGCAGACTCCTTCTTTGGCTGTTTCCCTGTCATCCTGATCTCGTCTTGTGTCTCTTTTCTGGTAATACCCTCACTATGTCTCTACTCTAACACACACGCTCACATAGCCATGATAGTTCTGTTAATTGTTGATGTGGGATAATACACTTCCAATTTGCAACATAATGTTGAGTTTTATAGGATAATACACTTTCAATTCTTCGATTAATGGAGCAGTATTAGCCTACAACGAAGCATCTGAATCCTTAAATAGTTGGTGCTAGAGACACGGTAGGAAGGTTTCCTTACTTTCTTCTCGTATTTGAGCTGTACCTCTGGTACTTGCGGGCAATACATATCATCGCATTTTTCAATTTTCCTGTTGAACCAACTTGTTCTCTGAAAATTTTTCAACACACGTCTAGTCTCATTTTTAAATTCATTACATTTATTCTTCGCAGGGATTGGTCCTATTCACTTTGACTGCAACTCTTGATTCCTTGAGGCCCCCTTCATGTGAGAATGGATCTAGCTTGTGCGAAACACCATCAAAAGTTCAGTTTGCAGTCCTATATGCTAGTATAACGCTGGGATCAATTGGACTGGGAGGCACTCGCTTTACCATAGCAACAATGGGAGCAAACCAATTTGACAAGCCTAAAAATCAAGGGATTTTCTTTAACTGGTTTTTCTTTGCCATGTATACCGCGCATGTTGTAAGTGCTACTGCCGTTGTGTATATTGAGGACTGTGTCAGTTGGGGGTTGGGATTCGGCCTATCTGCTCTTGTTAATTTGATTGGTCTGGTTATATTCTCATCTGGAATCCATTTCTATCATCGTGATAAGCCACAAGGTAGCCCATTCGTGAATATAGCTCGTGTTGTTGTTGCTAGTATCCGGAAATGGAATGTTAAACTCCCACCCCGAAGGGAGGATTACCACTACCACAACGAAGGAGAGGCAAAGACAACTCCCGCAGCACCTAAAAAGAGTTTCAGGTACCAGAATTTCCACATGTTCTGCATCCTCACATTGATTTTATCTTGTGTCTTCTTTATTGCTAGTATCCGGAAATGGAATGTTAAGCTCACAGGTTTTCTATCTGTAATCATCATGTTGTTAAGTACGCAAGGATACACGGTACTATTTCTTTAGGAAACACAGTGCCATTATATAACGATGATAAGAAATTTTCCTTTCGCTCTCTTGTTGCAGATTCCTGAACAGTGCAGCCCTGGAAACAGAAGGGGACTTGAAGCCCGACGGCTCAATTGCAAGGCCATGGAGGTTGTGCACACTCCAGCAAGTAGAAGATCTCAAAACTATCATTAGAATTTTCCCCTTGTGGTCATCCAGCATATTTATAAGTACCCCAATAGCGATTCAAATGAGCTTAACGGTCCTGCAAGCTCTAAAGATGGACCGTCACATCGGATCACATTTCAAAGTCCCGGTTGGATCTGTCCTGGTCGTGGTTACAATCGCCACTTGCATCGCTCTCCCAATAATTGATCGTATCCTATATCCCGTCTGGCAGAAACTGACCCATAAATCTCCGACTCCCCTCCAAAGACTAGGAATTGGTCATGTCCTAAATATCACAGGCATGGCTGTTTCCGCATTAGTCGAGTCAAAGCGTCTCAAAACAGCTCACGGTTCCAAGGTGCCAATGTTCGTCATGTGGTTATTCCCACAGTTGGTTTTGGTGGGCATCGGTGAAGCATTTCATTTCCCGGGGGAACTTCAGTTTTGCTATCAAGAATTTCCAGCGTCACTTCATACCACGGCAACTGCAATGGTCGCGATGATAATAGCCATTGCTTTTTACTTGAGCACGGCGCTGGTTGATCTTGTTCGGAGGGTTACGGAATGGCTGCCGGATGATATAAACGAAGGGAGGATAGACAATGTGTACTGGGTGGTGGTTGTGATAGGTGTGCTCAACTTCGGTTATTTTCTGTTATGTGCCAAGTTGTACAAGTATCAGAACGTTAAGGGAGTAGAAGATAGTAGCTCCTCAGTCTCTCAAGGTTAGAAAATAAAATGTCTATCGATCTTATACTGAAATATGAACTATTTATTGGCCTAAATCTAATTTTCTAGAATGTCGTCATTCAAATAAAAAGACTAGTGTTTTAAGTTCTTGATTTGGACAATACTAGTCTACATCTTTCTGCCCACAAAGAAAGTTTCCTCTTTTTTTCTCTCTTTTCTTTTCGTGTGGTCGTATTGTTGTCCTTTTATTTGATTTCTTATCTCCGAAGTTATACTTTTTCTCTCTTTTCGTGTGGTCATATTGTTGGAAATGAAAGAAAGTTGAGATTTCATTATAAAAATCTCTCTTTTCATCAATATAAGATTTATTCTTAATATGTCTCTTCATGTGTAATGAATTTTAAGGCTAATATGTGGATAACACAACTCGAAGGATGTGGAGCACATGATGCCGTTATGCCTCATACATGAGACAACCGTTCCAATGCCATGAAGATAGTTGAAGTTCCACCATAAAACCAATTAATTGACAATATGAAAAGTACCTCAACCACTTATTATAAGCACATACAAAATCTTTTATTTCATTAATATAAGATTCATTCTTTAACAGAAAAATAACTGCTTGTAAATAACCGAGCTACATTCCCTTGCAACACCGATCATATTATTTTGCGAGGGTGATTGTTTCAAGGGGTGTACTATCCACACATCACATTTTACTTCTCACACGTCCCTTGATAATTTATGTCCGTTGATCTTCTTCAATTCATCCGATCCGACGGCCGAAAATTAAAAGGTGTGAGAAGTAAAATAGGGTGTGTGGATATCACACCCCTTGTTTCAATTGTTTGTAGGCCATAGTAGATAATGTAGAGACAATCAATTAAAAATTGTAAAGGACCCTGAAAAAACCTGAGCCACACAACACAAAGAAGAAGAAAATGATCATGCAAACACAGGATTTAGAAGAAAACTAGAAAATATGCTCGCGTTTTGTTGCGGGACTTGAATGCATCATTCTGAATTGCATGAATAAGACACATATTATCTGAATAAATTCAACACAATCATGAATGAACAAAGAGATGGATGAGTGAATGAGGTCGGTAAGATAAGCAGCTTTGTTTTTATATACATTCAACTTAGCTGATAGGAAAAGACATTGTACAATTAATAGGATGAAAATGAAGGTTCCTGATTACAAAATATGTGGTTGCAAAAAATGTTATGTTTCCCTAATAAACAGAAGCAACATGCAGTTGACACAAATCTTGCCTCTACAGTCAAGGTGGCAAAATATATGTCCTATAGGCTAGGGTTTTAGCAAAAAAACATAAAAAGTGTTCCGTTCTTGTTCTAGCATTTAAGTTTTTGAGCACAAATGTTCAAAGCAAAAAACATGCAGGACGCCTGTTTTCATAAGAAATAGAAGTAACATGCAGTTCACACATTTTGCCCTTGCAGTAACATATGTCTTGCAGGCCAAGCACCTATTTCAATAGTTAACAAAAAACATAAAAAGTGTTTCGTTCTTGTTCAAGCAACTAAGTTTTCAAGAAAAAATGTTGAAAGCCAAAAACATGCAGAACGCCCTGCAGCAGTAGTTGTGGTGTTCATTTTTTCTGAGAGTGGACATCTTCCACACTATAGCAAAAAACATAAATCATAGTTTAACAAACGCTAATATGATGGATGTTATGTAGGCATGTGCACGAAAAACAAATTGTAATTTACCTATCTTTGGTTTTTTTGGTTTGAGCTTTTGTTCTGAGTGTGGCTATTGACACTTTGTCGGTTGGTTCAATTTTGGGGACAACTAGATTATGGAATTCTCTAGCAATTCTGGCAGAATTGATTTTCTCTGTTTGGTCGTCGCAAGGTTTTTTGTTGTGAACCAAGGCACAAACTTATAAGGTTGGAGAGAAATGCGATAGCCAGGGAAAAGAGTGCGAAAGATTGGTGCGAAGGTTTTTCATGAGCAGCAAAACGTATACATATACCCAAAAGAAGCATGTTTCTTAAGATTTGCACATGAGAACATTAATCCAGAGGAAAACTTTACCTGTCAAATTTGTTTGCTTGATCAGGAAACAAAGCTCTCTTTGAAGTCTTGGTGGGTGCAGCTGATTGGGGTTGTTGATCTAGTTGCTGGGAAGACATCAATGGGGTGGGGGTTGCTTCAGTCATAATTTGTTTTCCTGCAGTGGTAGCAGGTGTTTGTGGTTTGACTAAGGCAATCGTTGGGCTTGAGAGTGGTTGGTCTTGGAGTAGTCCATGAATGATGAAGTCCATCTTCCCAAAGTCACTGTTTTGATTTCCAAAAGAGAGCTGAAATTTTTTTCTCGCCAATCAAAATTTCCAGAGTTGGCGGCACCACGAAAGGATCCTCATATCCATCCTTTATCACCAGAGTGTGGCAAGAAACACAGATTTTTTTTTGGCATGCATTCGCATCATGAGGAAATTGTGTTGATTCATGCTATCTTGCACTATAAGATCGATTTTGAACCTATGCAAGATGAGGATATTTTGTTGTTAGGCAACCATTATTGCTAATACCAATCTTGTGAGCAATCTAGAAAATGCAGTAGAACCACAGTAATGCAAGGCATGCATGAATAAAATAGACAGAAAGGCACAAATTATTTAGATTTAATTCACTTCACATCAACATATTGTGCATAATGAAAAGCGTAAATTTGAAAGTTTGAGTAAATGAATAATGCAATAACAAAATATACTCTTTTTAGCCCCTAGTTCTATAAATTAGAAGCACAAATGGAAATGATGGTGCCCAAACTTTGTAAGGCATACTTTAACAATTAATATGAGGCTCTAAAGGTGTGCACTGCATGTTTAATTCCAAACTAATAAACAAGTGTAAATATGAATTACCACGACTAAAAGACATAAAATCAGGATGAGTACAACCAAAAGACACACAAAATATTAGACCTGGCAGTTTCTGACACGACACGATGACACGATATGAAAACGACACGAAAATAACGGGTTTCAGGTCGACACGATAACTTATCGGGTCATTATCGGGTGACCCGTTAAGAACCCGTTGATAACGGGTTCTTAACGGGTATACACGTGGGTAACCTGTTTCGACCCATTAAGAAAAAAATTATTTTGATCATTTTAAAGTTTAATTACTAAAAGATTTATTGTAAAATACAATAGGCATATTAATATATACAATATATTCTATAAATATATAATTTTGTATTATTATTCTATATAAGTTTTAAAAAAAAAAATTTTAGTCATTATTTATTGTTATTATGAGAGTTCCTTATTATCATTACTAAGATAAATTTTACTCAACATGTTGTTGTCCAAAATTAAAATAAACTAGTATAATATTTGTATAGGCAAGAACTAAGGAGACATACATACAAGTATGAAAATGTGAAAGAATATATAAACACTCGTGATTCATCATTATTTCTCCACGAGTAGATAATAGTTACGCTTACATTATTGTTCAGATTTTTAAAATCCTCCAAACTCTCATGAATAATGTTTTTTATTTGAGGGCAAAATTAATAAAATTAAGGGTAAATTACACTTTCATACCTCAGGTTTGGGGTTTATTTCAATTCCTTACAACATCTTCAAAACATTTCACTTTCATACCTTAAGTACTATTTTATTTCAAAATAATATATCCGTTACATTTTTCATCCATTGATCTGTTAAATGCTGATGTGGTTGCTACATATATGTCACGTGGTTGCCAAATGTCTGCCACGTGGCAAATAAAATAATTTTTTTTAAAACTTGAATTTTCTCAAAAAAAAAAAAAAAAAAATGAAACCCACTATCCCTCCCCCCCCCCACCCCCCAGTGACCCACATCCCTATCTCTAACCCAAAACCCAAAAAACATGCTGCTGCAACAGCAAGAAGAAGAAGAAGAGGGAGAAAAAAGGAAAAAAAAAAAAAAAACCTACCGCAGCAGTAGCAGGAAGAAGAAGGAAAAAAAAACCCCAAACCCAGTATGTCCCCCCTCCCCCTCTCCCCCACCCTTGCGCGACCTTCCCTCCTTCCCCACCCCCCCTCGGGTTAGGACCTCATGATTTTCAATATGGGTGGGTTTTGAAAAGGCTTTGAGTTTGAGATAATTTTTGGACTGGTTTTGTGGTAGATCCACCTAATCTCGGGTGGAATTTTTCTCCCTCTTCTTCTTCTTCTTGCAGGTTTTTGGGTTCTGGGTTATGGTCGCTGAGGGGGCGGGGGAAGGCACTGGTTTCAATTTTTTTTTTCTTTTTTTGAGAAAACTGAGGTTTTTTAAAAAAAAATTAAAAATATATTTTATTTGCCACGTGGTAGACATTTGGCAGCCACGTGGCACTTATGTGGCAGCCACGTCAGCATTTAACAGATCAATGGATGGAAAATGTAACGGAGGTATTATTTTGAAATAAAATAGTACTTAAGGTATGAAAGTGAAATGTTTTAAAGATGTTGTAAGGAATTGAAATAGATCCCAAACTTGAGGTATGAAAGTGTAATTTACCCTAAAATTAATAATAATTATTGTAGAAGTGTAAAAAATGTAAAATATATACACACACACACACAATCACCTTCAAAATCCAACACTATAATCGATAAACCTTAAATTTATATTTAAATGTCGATTGTCATTTACACTTTATTCTTCTTACTAAATTTCATTTTTAAAATTTTCTTTTTTGAAAATACGATCATCTGGTAGATGTAAGAAGATGAACGATTCAGATCTTTGATATCACGTTTCAATATTTACGGTTAACTAAAATATGAGTCAATGTTATATAGTTTGTAAAAACTTTATAAACATCAAGTAATATTTTCACTAATCGCAAAACTCTAAATATAATATTAACGATCAAAACCGTTCATCTTCCTGCATCCTCTAATAGATCTTGTTTTCAAAAATAAAAATCTGAAAAAACAAAATTTGATGAGAACATTGAAGTGTAAATGCAAACAACAATCAACGATTAAATTTTGGTCTATGATTTATATGATTATAGTGGCAAATTTCGAAGTTAAGCTCTTCATGAAAGTTATAAAGCTTGTCATTATGAGCGTTTATATATATATTTTTTACACTTCTACATTAATTAAAAAACTATTAAAGACTTTAGGTAAGCGAAAATTTG